ATATGTCCCTCTAGAGGGAGTTGCTCAGTCCTGCCATCACAATTAACTAGGACTTGACAGTCTTCTGACACCATTTAAAAGATGCCCCAGAATCTCTAGAGCTTCCAGTTGGGTCACACCATCAGAATAAGTGTGTGCTTTCCAAGCTGACTCTGAGGCTGTAAGATGACATTTACCAAGTCCCTGGCATGTGCCTCTTACTTCAACTTAGTCATCATGACAAGGCTGTGAAGACGGTATCATCATCCCCACTGGAATGCTGACGAAGTCGAGGGACAGGAAGCTTAAGTAACTTGCCCAATGTCATGTAATTAAGCCATAGTGCTAAAATTCAAACGCCAAAATCTGTTCTTTAAAACATATATTGCCTTTAAAATTCTGGCATACTATTTAAACAATTCTAATTACATTCCTTCTTCATATTTGTAATGGCATGGACAATGTCTCAGAGATAAGAAAAGGCCATTTGGGGTAAAATCACTGTTTTGGAAGTACAACAGATTTGTTCTCACTGCAAATTCATTGGAGGGCTTTATTCAAGTTGTCATTTTTCAGAGATTGGAAATGCTCAGTATCAAATATTTATTATTCAACTTGGAGCAGTTTCCCCTAGACAGGCATTTATACAAAACAGCGATGTTTCTAGGCCTGGCAGACTGCGTGGGGAGGGCCAGTATTAACATCCTGTGCCCTTAAGTATCCAGTGACATAGGATAAGTGCCATTGATAAAGTCTGCAAGAGGTAGATTGTGTTCTCTAGGGATGAGGAATGAAAGTCAAGCATGTTTTCTTGGAAGCAAAGAGCTCCCCAGTGGACATTTCCATTCCTACAGGCAGCCCCCAACCCAGTCCCATCCCATCCCAGAACATCTCCAGGCCTAGAAAGGCAAGTGAAGCTTCAGATCATGCTGGGCTCATCTGGAGCAGCCCAGAAGCCCTCCATCACCCTGAAGTCCACAGTTCAGGGAACGTCTCAGGCTGGGCCACTCTCAAGAAGCAGAGGTAAAAAGACTCATGGCTCCTCCACTCACCATTAGCCCACAGCACGGAAGGGAAAATGCCACTCCCTTTTCAGTCTGCCCTTTTGCAACTATAGTCCTCCTCAAAGCCTTCTTCGTTATCACTGTAACTTCATGTTAACTGCAGACATTATTCTTAAAGGATAACAATGAGCCCACAGTGTTATTTACCCTAAGCTCAGCATTGCTCCAGGGCTGGTCCTGGGCCAGGTGCCTCCCATGATTAGAGACAAAATTAGACATTTGCAAGGAAGACACTGCCACCAAAGGACTCTGGGGCAGGTGTCAGGGCCCCGGTGTAATTATGGAAAGATAATACCCACCCCAGGGACTACTTCATTTCTCATCCCTAAGGAGGTCTTCACCAATCAGAAAAGAGAATTCTTTAACAACAGCTCCCCACCCCCTGGTCAGGAACCACGCATAGCTTCTCAGAAAATGTTTCTGGGCAGGTGGTGCACAAAGCCAGAAAGGGAGATGAACTCCAGGCAGAACAGGAGACACAATAGCTCTGTGGCCCTGACCCTGGCTCGGAATCCGCCTGGTGCTCAAGCTAGGACTGTTTCACTGCAAGCTGAGGACCTGGTTTGCTCTACATTGTCCTGCCTTGAAGGCTGGCAAGAAGCTGAGCCTCTGGGCTCTGCCCACTGATATGACACTGGCTCTGGGAGGTCACCTCAGCGATGACAGATGCACATGGTGGCCATCTGTGGCCATCCCCGTCCTCAGGGATCCTTCAAACGAAGGTTAATGTGTGAAGTGGGAATCATAAAGTCAGAGACCTCCATGGGGCTTTGAGACAGTCTCTACATCTCCAGATGAACCACCTAAACTGCTCTGAGACAGCTATGCTCATGTGAATCATATTCACTCATTCTTTATTTTGCTGGTTATTAAAAATGTCAGACTCACTTTATAAAAATATAAGGGAGGCACTGAAAATCACCTGCAGTCCCACCACTCACTGCCTTAACCTTTTGGTGTTTTTCATTCCTGATTTCTTCCCATGAATGTATAGGAGGATCTATATAAATATACACAGTCACGTGTTGCTTAACTATGGGAGTATGTTCTGAGAAGTGCATCGTTAGGCAATTTCATTGTGTGCACATCACAGAGGGTACTTACACAAACTTACACAGCAGAGCCTACGGCCCACTTGGGCTGTATGGCACAGCCTATTGCTCCTAGACCACAAACCTGTATAGCATGTTACAGTACTGAATACTATGGACAAATGTAATACATGGTAGTTGTGCATCTAAGCATATCTAAACAGAGAAAAGTTACAGTAAAAATATGATACTATAATCTTATGAGACTTCCATCATATATGCAGTTCATCATTGACCAAAATGTTACATGGTACACAACTGTACTTTCTATATTGTTATATATAAACATACATCCTAAATAATAAATAAAAACATATATTTGCTATGTTTTTTCATCTTATTTCCTGAAGTCCCAGAAATGAAATAAACAGGTAGAAGAGATTAACTTTTAAGACTCCTGCCAATTTGCAGTCTCATCGTAAAGTCCTGAAGAGAGTGATTATATGCCCTCCTTTAGCTACCTGTGAAAATACTTATTAGAAAAGTGTGTCATGTTTAATGAATGGTATTGCCAATAAGAATGGGGGTAATGATCCTGCCTTTCCCTGCCAGAATGTTCTTCCTGACATCTGTACTAATCCCTTATGCTGATTGAACTTCAAACCTGTTCCTTCTTGTCATTTCAGGGAATAAAAACAGCACTTCCTACTGTGCCCCTGACTGGCTTCTATGAAGAAAACCTGTTGTCAAATCTCTGAGGCCCCGTTGGTGTCCTCTGATGCTGGCTAAATGGAGCCCCAATCATTTGCATTTGCTCAAGAATCAAATTGCTTAAGGCTCATATGCCCCGCTTCCCCTGCACAGGGCTCTTCTCCTGTGCATTCTCCAGCTTCTCCATCCCAGACAGAAAGCCTGTTCCTTCCAACAGACATCTTCAGTAAAGCCCTGAGATTACCTTGCTCACCCACAAGCAACATGCTCCTATTTATAAACTCGAACCTCAGCTTGGTACCACCCTGGAGTGCTGATTCACAGCATGTGACTGAATTGTATTTTGCCTCTACTGTAAATAAGTACAAAGAAAGAAGTTGGTACTGTCTATTTCCAAATATCCTTCGGCTCTTCACCAAGAGAAAACCTTCCTTCTATAAATGGATCCCAGATTGATCATGGATCTTTTCAGGAATATGAATGTGGTGAAGAAATGAGACTGATTTTAATGATGTACAAATTTAAAATGAAATAATTATAGCTAATGTCCTAAAGCCCTCATTTAGGAAATAGCCTTTAGCTTTCAATAGAATTTGCCTTTCTAATGATAAAATAATAATAACAGTATTTATTGGGCACTCACCATATGCCAGGCACTGTGCTAAGCATTTTGCTTCTGCTTATTTAATTCTTCATAGTAACTTTATAAAGTAAGTACCATGATTGCTCCATTTTTACAGAGGAGAAAACTGAGGAAGTGAATCTCCTTGTAGCAACACAAATGGAACTTAAAAACATAATGCTGGCTGGGCGTGGTGGCTCATGCCTGTAATCCTAGCACTTTGGGAGGCTGAGGTAGGCAGATCAGGAAGTCAGGAGTTTGAGACCAACCTGGCCAACAGAGTGAAACCCTGTCTCTACTAAAAATACAAAAAAATTAGCCAGATGTGATGGTGGGTCCCTATAATCTCAGTTATTTGAGAGGCTGAGGCAGGAGAATCGCTTGAACCCAGGAGGCAGAGGTTGCGGTGAGCCAAGATCCCACCATTGCACTCCAGCCTGGGCAACAGTGCGAGACTCCACCTCAAAAACAAACAAAAAAACTAAAAGCCTGATGTTTAGTTTTTTAAAAACTAAGAAGCAGAATGAAAAATACCACACAATATCATTTATAAAATTAAAAGACATGCATATTACACAATACACATTTTATAAAAACACAAACAGAATGTCAAACATGTTAGAGTGGCAATCTATGGAGAGGCCTTGCACACAGCAATGAGAACTACATGTCGTGAACTGAGCAGCATCACACCTCCACTCTGCACAGAGGTCCAACTACAAAAACAGTAACCCCAAAGCTTAGAGCAGGGAGATGGTAATGGACTGCTCTGGGTTACAGAGCCAGGCCTGGACTTGAACCCAGGTGTCTTGCACCTGCACCGAGTAGCAGGTTGTAACTAGTTGGTGAATCTTTAATTCCTGAAAATGTATCTGCCACATAGCTAAACCTCTTCAGGTTTCTACACTTTAAAGGCCTCTAGTCATAGCATGGTTATTTGATCTTGAGGGACATGTAGATCTGCTGTATTTATTGTATGGCAAGCCCAAATATGAACTAAACAACCAGCCACTCATCTATTCATTCAGCAAAAAATTTTTTTTGAGCGTTGATTATTTGCCAGGCATTGGGCCAGGCAGAGGGCAAGTGGAGATGAGCCAGAACTCTGGCCTCCATGAGATCCCACCACTGAGCCATTCTCTAACTACAGCCATTTCTCCTCCTGAAGGCCTCTTCGCAGCACCGTTGTAAGAGTGGAGGTATGCAGCTCAAACCTGCATATGACTGTCTAAAGCACTGGCGAGAATTTTCTAAGACAGTTTAGATTTCCACCAAGAAAGCTTGCTATAATAGCAACAACACTGAATTCCATGATGGGGAATATATTTTTCTTGTAGCTAATCTTTCCAAAGGAAGAAAGAACAACACATGCAGCAATAGCCCTGGTAATTGTGGTAACATCCGCCTCATGACTCCTGTGGTAATGTCTCTTTCTGTGCTGGAGGTGAATATTTCAGAGACATCAGGAAGGAGGCCATTCTAGATGCAAAGAATGAAAGGTTGGAATAGGGATGTCTAGTGTGGCACTGAGGGAGCCATAAAGACCCGGTGTCGCAGGCTTGATTGAGAACCTGTGGAAGTCACCTGACTCACCTCGATAGTTCTGCAGGTATCTTCCAGCTGGCTGATCACTCCCTGGACTCGATCGTTGCTCCCCACAAGGATGGCGATGCCATCGCTGAGCTCAGACTAATGAAGAGAAAACACAAACCCAATATCTTAGGGGTTTCCTAGTCACCCCGATTGTGTATTGGTCATAATATTGTCTTTATGGGTTCTTAATTTAGGATCCATGCAACCCTTAAGGAGTAACAAGGAGAGCTTGGAGGCCTGTGGACTGCCTGATATTGCAAGCAAACTTTTGTTTATGAATGCATTTGTGCACAAAAAGGTTTCATAGTTTTCATCACATTCTTAATATTGAGATCAACATGTTCAAGGTAAAGAATTCTAAGTATTGTTTATAAATGGCATGGAGCCCAATATGTGACTTCAGGGACCCAAATGGAATTCTTTACCTAGTGGAACTCAGGGTCAGTTTTACTTGGGAAATGTATATAGTAAATACTCATTTATTTAACATATACTTATTATAGACATAATAATATAGTGTATACAGATGCAAACACACATTAGACTAAGTCATTACAGACTTCGCACTGAAACAAAGAACTGGTTCTAGGGGAGAAATGTCAACTTTGAAATTCCTTTGCTCTTTTGACTTGGGATGAGATTCCATTGTTCCTATTTCCCCCCTTCCCAAGGCTGGCTGATGGAGTGACCAGGAGCACTGGATGGGCCCTTGGGAGATCCATGTGCCTTGTCCAACTCTACTCCCAACTTCTCTATGATGTTGGGCAAAACATATATTTGATTTTGAACCTAATTTTCTCACATTTAGAAAGAGAAGATTGGACCAGAACAGTGTTTATAAAATATTTTAAAGCTGCAGAACCTTCTTCAAATGAAAGCTAATATGGAGGTGAAGCTGCTTTGGCCAAACAGGAGCAAGGATGGGGGTCCCACCAGTCTGTCCTTCTCTCCATCTCACATGAGTCTCCAGGCTCTGAGAGGAGGAGTGTGAAACAGCTACCATCCAGTTCTATCATGCTTTGACTTTAGGGGAGGTGGGCAGAAGAGAAGGGGGAATAAATTGTAACTGCATTGAAAAATAAACAAATGTTGTGGATAACTTGAAAAATCCTGCCTCTTTAGCACGTAGTGGCCACTGGTTGTAATTGGTGTTGCCCAAGAGTTTTGCTTCCAAATTTGATTCCAACACTACTCTTCACAATAAAACACTGATTAGTCTAAATGAAAGATACTGAGAGGTGGAACTGCTCAAATTCTCAGTGCCTGGAGTGGCTGCACCTACTGGAGTACCTGACTCCACTTTTATCTGTACCAGATGGATAAATTCTGACCTGCTCGTGCATGAAACCAGGCTAGCAGATTGGTAATGTGTTGATGGAGACACTCTCTTTCTCTCTGGTCAGAATTAGGGGGCTACAGCTGAGGCCCTGGGATCAGGGGGACGCACCACACTCAAAGGGACCTTTAGGCAACTGGCGCGGGTGACAGGAGGGCCAGCACAAGGGTGTGTTTTAAAGCTGCTCTATAACTGCATGTCACTATTGTAACCCTCCCTCACTAACAGTGCAGGAGAAAAGGACTTGAGGAGGGCCAAAGAAACCTTTCATGGGTGGATGAAAAAAAGTATTCTGTGACTAGGGTAAAAAACTGTCCTTTTCTTATCTGCCGTCTAAGCTTCACATAATCTTGAGCAGTTTGAGCTTTTGCTGGGTCCCCTAACATTGCTCATCTTCAGCAACCTCCAAAGGGCACAAAAATAGGGACCCTGTCCTTCTGCACCCCTTCCTGAACCTGGGCACCGCTCCCCTATCTGGCTTCCCCCCACCACCTTCCAGGGAATGTAGTGTGTGCCTTGTGCACAACTGTGCACATATCTTCCTGCAGACCTTGCGTGCCCTCCAGTGTTCCGTGGCCCTGTATGACTTAGGCTTCCTCCTTCACCACAAGGAAACACTCACGCTGGCCCCAGGAAGGCCCTGAGGAGTGGGGATGGGGATGGGGTGTGGGAGGAAGGGAGCAGCTCTGTTACCTTCTGTCTCTGGAACACATGAGTGAGGGGAGCCACCTGGCAGTCCTTGTGTGCACCAAACACCTTGCACAGGGAGCAAGTGGGCACTTCGCAGTTCAGACAGTAGATGTTGATGCGCTCCTCTTCATGCTCCTCGCACATGGGCTGGTCAGACTTCTTTTCTGGCCTGGGAGGAGGTAGGCAGACGAATGTCCATCAGCTCTCACTGGGGCAGAGCAGAGACTGGTGATCTGCCTTGCAAATTCCTTCTCCTCCCTGTATACCCAGCAACTCTATTCCAGAAGACTCCCAGGGGCCCTTTCATGTGCTTGGAGCCCACCAAATTCAGCTTCCCTGCAGGTTTAGCAGTGAGGTGCTGGCAAATCTCTCACAACCTTGCTTGGGGTGGGGACAGAGACGTGGAGAGACTGATTTGCACCATTTGCCGGTTTCCATGGTGTATTTCCACGTGGACAATTTTAAGTTATCTAAGGTTGAAGAACCTGCTAGTGAAATTCCTGAAAGTTGAACATTGGACCCTGGTGAGCCATCAGGAAGGTGTTCCAGCACTGTGTCTACACGCTCATGAGTTTCTCAAGGGACAGTTTCCCATTATGGACAAAGAACAGGAAGTTGCTGATGAACTGACAGTCAAGTTTGCACCAGCTTTTGGGTGGAGCTAGATCCCTCCTCTATAGCCTCTGTCCCCAGAAAACACCCTTCTCACCTGAAGGAGTGAGGATAGGTGTGGCTCACAGGGAACAGAAATCTTCTGATTACTAATTCAAGTACTGGTTGGAAGTAGCTGTGTATGACAGGCAGGTGTGAGTGTACCTCCTTATATAAACCCCAGGAATTCTGATATATCCTATCTAATGACTGAGGCTGTTAATAGTTTACAGAAGTATTTGAAAAATTCAAATCCAAATCCAGAGGCTTTCTTAAAATTTCCAAACACATAGTTATTTAGCAACATCTTAGATTTGGGACTACATTTTTTTTGTTGTTATAAAGATCCACTTTTAAACAACTGCAGGTTTTTTATGAGCCATGAAATCAATTACTACAGGCCAAGAAATCAATTTAAGAAGTTATGATCAGCATTGTTAAAATAAAAATAGAATGGAATAGCAAATGCTGTGAATTACTTGTGGTAAGAATAAGTATTGATATTTGAAACTTTTGTTTCAGCTGTTTGTGTGTATATATGTGACTTAAACAAAAATGTGTGTGTGTATGTGTGTAAATATGTATGTGTGTGTGTGTGCGTGTATGCATCCATCCATATAAGTAAGTAGTCACAACATAAAATGCACTTCCTACTGTGAATCACGATCACAAGTGTTTGAAACCCATTGTTTTTGATGTGTGGTATCTTGTAGCTGCAGCCCCAGAACTCAGAGAAAGGCAGAAAACATGCTGATGTACCTCTGTAAGACACTAATTTTCCTTTATAAGCTGCTAGGTGGAAGTCAAGTACTTGAGATTAGGCTAAACACTGGGAGAAGCCCTGAGTCTCGTCAGAAAATTGCATGGACTTCCAGTTTCAAAATTTTAGAATCTGATTATTGCAAAAGGAATTTCTGTCTGGTCTTGCAGCAATATGCTTTCCATGAAGTCTATGACCTTCTGATTTGACCACATACTTGGAACTCAAATAAGGAAAGTCAACTCCACAATTGAGAAAATTATCTCCCTGTCAGGTCTGTCTGTTTCCTCCACTAGAATATCAGCTCCATGAGGGCAGGGGCCATGATGCATCTTCTTTTTTGCTGCATCTCCAGTACTCAGATAAGTGCCTCACACAGAGGCAGTGGCACAGTAAATATTTGTTGCACAAATGAGAGAGACAATGAAAGGGAATTTGACCTATTAATGGACAGTATTCCCTGTGCTCTAGTGTAACACCACCCAGCCAGAGAAGTCATGGCAAATATGGGAAAAGCCTAGGGTCACCTGGCACTCCTGAATGGCGGAGGAAGAGACCAGACAACATCCTGATTACTTCTTTAATAAATGACACTGCCCTTTGGGGTTTGGACTGGAGAGTTGGTCTCTGGCTGGTCAAAGGCTTCTTCCCCTCTAAACTCTTCCCTCTTAGGTATCTCCACCATGTCATTAACATGGTTTAAGCAAGAGTGGGCAGCCTGGGTCCCACATGCTGTTCTGATGTCAACAGCTGTGATGAGATAATGTCATAGAGCACAGGTCTATGAAGTATATGCAAATATTGAAAATGCGAAAACAGCCATGAGGCTCTACATTTAGTTTTGCTTGTGATTCAGTTTATTTATTTTTTTCATGGTGCTATATAAACTGCGAACGATTTCCCATATTCCTCACTGAGTTTTTCTTATTTGGGTTGTAGCCCAGCCCTAGAAGCACCACCCACTCATAACTGAGTGTATAATGAAACCTCTGTACAATTTAAAACATGTGACAGACTTGGGACAGATATGGCATGTAAAAGAAAACATAAATACATGTTTATGAGGTGAGAGCAGCCGAGCTCATAGCTGTGGTCAGGGCCCAGTGCTAAACGTTGGCCGTGGCTCCTCACTGTTCAGTGTAGGCTGGACTGAGGAGTCTATAGCCTGCTGTCTCTGGTCTCTGAGATTCCTGGGATCACTCTAGAGTTTTCTGAGGGGTGGGCATCTGGTCTTGGTGAGGCAATTCAAGCAGTAGCTTTGCAGTCAAACTGATCTTTTTGTTTTTTTCTCGAGACAGAGTTTTGGTCTTGTCCAGGCTGGAGTGTAATGGCACAGTCTTGGCTCACTGCAGTCTCCATCTCCGGGTTCCAGGGATTCTCGTGCCTCAGCCTCCCAAGTTGATGGGATTACAAGCACCTGCCACCAAGCCCGGCTAATTTTTATTGTATTTAGTAGAGATGGGGTTTCACCATGTTGGTCAGGCTGGTCTTGAACTCCTACCTCAGGTGATCTGCCCACCTCAGCCTCCCAAAGTGCTGGGATTACAGGCATGAGCCACAGTGCCCGGCCAAACTGATCTTAAAGCTTCTTTCCAGCTCAGCTTCTTCGTGTAATGGTGGCCTTAGGCAAGTTACTTAACCTATTTTGTTCTCAATTTTTACTCATATCAAAAATCGGATTAAGGGTCTTCTAATCAAATGTGGCAGAATGAACATAGGTGTGTATTTATTTATTTATATATGTATCTATGTGTGTATGTATTTATGTATTTATTCTGCTGGAATCCCAGTGAAATGAGAATAAGGAAATAAAAGGGCATAAATCAGTAAGGACAAAAAGTGAGCACAGATGACAGCAAATGAGAGATGTCAACCAAATGTTGGAAATTAGGAACGTCTGGATGAATGGACGTGACCTACTTGAGTTGCATCTTAGTTCTGCTATGTTCCTGCAGTGAGAAGCTTACAATAAGCAAGTTGACTTGAGCTATGGAACCCTGGAAAGGGTCTGGAACTGCAGGAGCCGGGAGTCCTAAAGGCAGAAGTAGGGGGTGATGGAGTGGAAGAGGATGAAAAGAGAAGGACTTTGTGCACATTTTAAGAGATTACTTGAGGATGTGCTCTATAAAAACAAGAGAGTAAGCCAGCAAACAGGGAGACGTGGAATCCAAGGAGCAAGGAGTTCAACCCACGGGAGGGTAAAGGAATTCCCAAGTAGATGGTGAAGCCCAGCCATGCGAGGAGGGCTAATCCTAATCATCTACAGTGAATAGTCAATAGAAAATGTCTGAAACTGAAAAATCAGAGAATAGCAGCATACCAGTAGTATGCACATGTCACTGGTGATGAATAGCAGAAAAACAGCTAAAAGAATTAAAAGTGGCTGACTCTGGGGAATGAGTTGGGGGTAAAGAGAGAACAGGGTGGAGACTGCATTTCTCTTCAGAGGCCTTGTACTGAATTCTCAAAATTGTGTAAGTTAATTACTTTAAGACACTAAAAACTTTTAATAGCTTAGTAGTAATTATAATAATGAACATCTCACAGGATTGTTGTGAGAATTAGAGAACTGCACATGATTCATGTGTCAGGCACCCTGAACAGTGTCTGGCACATAGCACATAGTAGTTTACTTGTTATATTTTAAAGTTAATTATTACTATACTAATTATTAATATAACCAAAATAGTACCTTCTCTTACCAGCTCCTACTCTCAACTGTGGCTAGTCTGGCACCATGCAGAATTCTGGACAAAAATGCCAGCTTTTGTGGAGACCTACAGTCTCCAGCCTTTCTGCAGGAGGTCAGAGTTGATCAACAACATCTCAGTCTGTGATTGGCACCACTCCCACCCCCTTCCAATGGCCACAGCTGAACTCTTCTCACTCTATATAACAAGATCATTCTAGGGTTACCTAATGTACCCTGAGGCTCAAGGTTCTGGCCTAGTAAGGCTTCCTGCCCCCAGGGGACACCTGTGTTTCCTCCGAGACATGTGGCCAAGTGCTCTGTGCAACTTGTGGTTTTGCTACCAAGTAAAATTTTCCCACAGGCAAGTTTCAAATTCAAGAAAAAAAAAAACATAACAAAATCACAGAAAATCACAAAAGCATCCCTAGTCCACTCAGCTATGAGTTTTATTGTTGGAAATTTGGTTCATTGCTTTTATGCAACTTACTTCCCAGCCCTAGGTACTATTTTTGGCAGCTGCAGCAAGCCAACGTCATAGTTAAGGTGGAGATGTGTTTTGTAGTTTTACTAATACTGCAAATTTTAACATCTCTTCTCTGGATTTTATAACAAGTATTGCCATTTTTTCATGTCTCAAGTTCCCACTGTGACAAGTAACAAAACATAAATTTATTGCAATAAATAGAACATGTAAGAATATTTGTGGTGTTGCTTAATCAGCTGGGATTTATGGGGCAATCATTCTGTGCAAGGCACTGTACTAGCTCTGAAACTTGTTATGTAAGAATATTTGTGGTATTGCTTGATCAGCTAGGATTTATGGAGCAACTATTCTGTGCAAGGCTTAGGATTAGCAATGAAACTCTTGTTATATAAACTCTCTTAATTTTAGGTTGGTGGAAAAGTAATTGCTGTTTTGGCAGTGAAAAGTAATTGCAAAAATCGCAATTACTTTTGCATCAACCTAATAATTAATTGGCTATTAATTGGCTGGTTAAGTTTTTAAGAGACAGTGTGTATTTGTATTTTAAAGTAGTGAAACACAATGAAATCAAATCTGTAAAGTAACACCAACAGCAATAGTACTTTTGTTCTCGTCAAGAGACTTTGGAAGCAAGGGAAACAGCCAGCTGCAATCTCTGCAATATGTCATCAGCAATTCTTTTTCCCCAAACCCATCTAGATCCTGGTACTATCTAATTTAGTTTTGGATCTTTAGCGGAAATTAATAGCTATAATAATTATAATAATTATGTTAGATTTATAGAACAGCTTTCCTTCCAACAGCACAAGCCTCTTAGAGCCCTGCAGATGTTCCATAAATACATGTCCCCTAATGGAATCACAATGAGGCCATTTCTAGATGGTCTCAATATGGCTATTAAGCTTTGTGGACTGGACTGACCTGTGCACAATTGAAAAGGGGCTCTTCACACCGTGCCTTCTAGGAATGAGCTCCCCGCAGAGTTGTGTCTAGGAAAGGAATTCTATAGCCAATGTGGTTTGATGAATAAGAAGCATTTTCTATTTTTTTTAATGAATGAATAGATATATAATGCTATCACAATGCTATTCACAATCAACAAGCGAATGCTGACTCTGTAGTAAATACAATATAAGGAATGGGGAATCATTACCTGAATTTCATCTTTTTTCTTTCCTCGTGTCTCTGAACTTTAAGTCCCTAAAGGCCAGGGTTTTGCCTTGCTTTGCAACTTCCCTTAGAGTAAATACAGTGACAAACTATGTTGGAGGGTTGTTTTTATTATCATCCAAACAATTTTAAGGCAACACTATCTGAACTAGGAACTGGGCTATTTTGGAAGATGCCATTTCTATTAATTTTCTGTTAAGTTTTTACTAGGTTTTTTTTTTCTTCTTTGTAGGGATCTGGAGCTACAAAGGATCTGTGAAGTGCAAAAAAGTGTAAAAATGTATGTAATACCAAGCTTTAAGGTGGAGAGAGACAGCAGTAAGTCTCTTTCAACATCGCCATCTGGAATGGATTAGTGTTAATGAGTGATTTCATTCTTATACTATACAAAAGCATGGGCACCAGCTCCCCTCTCTCCTCCTGTGAGCAACTCTCCTCTCATTGGGAAGGACTGACTTGGAAAACCATTTTCCCTTAAAACACATAGTCTTTGATTGATAAAGGAGCATTCAGTGTAGCAACCCATTAAACAAACAAACAAAAACAAGCTTCACATGGGCTTGACACATGGAAGAGTGTTACCTGGTGGACTCCTGCTTGTAGATGTCAATGATATTTTCTACCAGCAGATTCCTCTGAAGTCCATATACCCCATGTCTGTCCAAAACCACTTCATGTCTACAAGATGGGCAGCGGAATCGGCCCCCTGATGCCACGGTGGTGCCTCCTCTTGTTGGCAAATACGGGTTAGAGGCCTGTTCTTGCCAAGCAAGAAAAAACGAATTGGGTAATGCCACAAGTAGCTTCTCTGAGACTTATTTTCACTCTCTGCTACTACAAACAACATGAACTTCTACTTTAAGCTTGCCATAAGATCATCCCTCAGGGCTTTCTCAGCAAGTGTTCCAGAAACACAGGGTCAGACCTTATCCACAGTCATCTGTGAATATACCATTGTCCACACAAAGTGCTTTTCCATCCATCATTTTCAGAACCAAAGTTCCAGCCTGAAACTCCACATTAATGTCTTTAGCAGTTACTTATGTATAGTTTTGAAACATTAAATGGTTTGATTTTTTTAAAAAGAAACAAATACTATTCTTAGTCTTAAGATAAAACTAGATTTGGGAGTAAAGAGGAACACAAAGCAAATCATTAAAAGAAAGGTGTTTTTCTTTGAAAGTAAATGCAACCTTTTTTTTTTTTTTTTTTTTTGAGATAGAGTCTCTTGCTCCGTCGTCCTGGCTGGAGTGCAATGGCGCGACGTCGTCTCACCTTGAACCTCTGCTTCCTGGGTTCAAGCGATTCTCCTGTCCCAGCCTCCTGAGTAGCTAAGATTACAGGCACCCGCCACCAGGCCTAGGTAATTTTTTTTTTTTTTGTATTTTTAGTAGAAATGGGGTTTCACCACGTTGGTGAGCCTGGTCTCAAACTCCTGACCTCAGATGATCCACCTGCTTTGGTCTCCCAAAGTGCTGGGATTACAGTCATGAGCCACTGTGCCCGGCAACCTTATAAAGTTTTTTAAAGGATTTCACCTCAATGTTAAGTATTTAATTCCAAGAGGAGGGAATCTTTTCCACCCCCTCCCCCTGACCAAATTCCAAACAAACCTACCTGGAAAATATCACTGGCACATTTCCTACACAGGTTGTGCTGACAAGGGAGAATGACCACAGGTTTTGTGAACATCTCTAAGCAGATGGGACAGATGAGTTGCTTCTCCAAGTTATCCATGGTCTGCTGCTCTTTGGAAAAAGACTTGTAATTCAGAGATGCGCTCATCTCCTTGCCGTCCCCAAGTGCGCTGCCAGGGAAGGGTGCTGCGAGTGGCTCCGGCAAGTGTTTCCTGGATATTATTCCAAGGATTGTGTGATCAAGTGTCCTTTACGTTTCTCTCAGTGGAGGACATTGTTTCAGGCCCTGGTTTGGAGTGAGTGCCAGAGCTGTTTTTAGCAGCCTGCGGTCACGTGACAGTGGGCTGACTTGTCCATATAAGCCAGTGACAGCAGGATGGATCCTGACAGGTGATGGAGAGCAGGAGTCAACATTCTTACCCCAGGGAGTGAAGAGAGTGGGTGGGAAGGAGGATTACAATCCCCATTTAGATGGGGGTTGTGAGGAGAAGGAGGTCGAAGCAGACAGTTGTCAACAACAAATGCAAATGTGCATGCCTAGCCACTGAGCCATGCCCTCTGTGAACGCTCACTGAGAACTTGGTGACGGCTTCTCCAGGAAGGGGCAGAACACAGCCCGAGAGTCTGACTGTGTAACAAACATCAGCCCTGTCTTGAGAGTATAGGAACTGAGTCGAAAGTAGCCTGATAGCACCTTCTTAGGTGAAAATGAGCAAAACATGTCTTGAAAATTACTATTCTGGCTTCATAAGGGCAATCTTCAAAAAGACTCTCTTAATGTTAAGTATTTCATCTTTGCCAGCTGGGGTTGTGGTCTTTGAAAAATTCCAATTTAAAAGCTAAATTGAAGGCCGGGTGTGGTGGCTCAACGCCTGTAATCTCAGCACTTTGGGAGGCCGAGGCGGGTGGATCACAAGGTCAAGAGATCGACACCATCCTGGTCAACATGGTGAAACCCTGTCTCTACTAAAAATACAAAAAATTAGCTGGGCGTGGTGCCGTGTGCCTGTAATCCCAGCTACTCAGGAGGCTGAGGCAGGAGAATTGTTTGAACCCAGGAGGCGGAGGTTGTGGTGAGCTGAGATCGCGCCATTGCACTCCAGCCTGGGTAACAAGAGCGCAACTCTGTCTCAAAATAAATAAATAAACAAACAAATAAATAAATAAAAGCTAAATTGAAATCCTTTCACCATAAAGGTATCCACCAAATAAATACATGCACACATAAAAATTGAAAACCAGTGGATGGTCTGATTATTTGAGAAAAAAGTTACATAATAAAACAACTCTAGTATGCTGTTTTCTCTTCCACATTGCTGTCGTCTTCCTTGGACCTCATTCATCCTACACTGTCCCATCCCCCTACACACCCAAAAACACAAAGAAAATTTGACAGTCTTTTACTGATTATTTAAATTCTTAAATTATGTAATAGTTCGCAACAATAATCAGTAATGAGGTAGCAACTGACAGGGGCCTGGGGGTGGCAGATCTATTATTTCATTTTGCCATCCCTCGGGGCACAGATACCAATGCCATTGTCAACTGAAGTATAAATGGAGTCCTGCTTCCACATCTGCATTTCATCCGCCTCCGAATCGCCCATACTCCCATGCATTTCCCCTTCCTCCAAGGTGACTTTTTAAACCATAGTTTCCCTGGTCATTTCTGATATTCTTGGTCTGCTCTTGAGTCATAAACATTGATTGTGACCTTCACCATGATTTTGTGAAGCAACAGTTTAACCAATATATATTGTATTAAATATTGTTTAAATCAGATCAAAAATGAAAAAGAAATCCATGTCTGTTTATCTGTGATGAATTTGGGCTTGCTTTCTCCTTAATTTTAAAAACTCTGGACAATGAACATATTTTGTTAATGTATCTCTAGTGTGAACTTAATTACCAGTAAAGTGTAGGTCAGTGTGACTGGTTATGTTTGGTCTTAATGCTGTATGCATGGAGATCTTATTGAGAATCTAATAAGCTCATTAACTAATAATAAGTTATATGTATTCATAAACATATCAGGGATCTTTGGAGAATTATCTTACTCCTTTCAATATTTATTTAGCAACTACAATGAGGATGGAAACTGGTAAAATTTTTTTACTGAGTTACTTCGGTTCACCCAGCCTAGGCAGTTAATTGTGTTTATCAATTCATGGGCTATGGAGGGGAGGTCTGAGCACAATATGCGAGATATTTTCTAGGAAAGATTAAACTTCTACTGCAAGAGACTTTGCAATCTAAGGAAAAGCACTTAAACTAATCATGCACAGTGTAGCAGAGTCTTTTCTTTTAGAAGGAATTCATTCCTTCAAAAAACATTCCTTGGATATGTGTAGTGTCTCTCCATTGTGTGAGGCTCTGGGGATTGAAAGATGAACAAGACACAGGTCATTGTCCTCAAGGAGCTCAGTCTTAGAGTGGAGATGAGACACGCACACACAGAACATAGTACACAATAAAATGTGATAAAGAGTGCGAACCAAAAAGTATTTGAGACAGGTCTCAATCAACTGAGAAAGTTCATTTGGTCAAGGTTAAGGGTATGTGCCAAGAGGCAGGTCTGTGCCTTTCTCCAAAGATGATTTCAAAGGCTTTAATATTTAAAGGGAAAAGGTGGATATTGGGGACAGAGAAAAAAAATTTTAAGTTGTGAATAGATAAGAGACAAATGGTTGCATTCTTTTGCGTCTTTGATCAGCCATTCACCAAATACATAATTTACACGTGGGGGCTGGGCAGTGGGTAGAGGTATAATAGTCATTTATGTCTTCCTTTAGCTCAGTGAGTCTGCATTTTTATATCAGAGGAAGCAATCAGATATGCATTTGTCTCAGGTGAGCAGAGAGATGACTTAGAGTTCTGTCCTTTGTCCCATGCCTGTGAAGATAAGCTGTCAGGGTAAAATTCAATAAAACTGTTTTAGGGTAAAGATATTGGGGCCTGTAAGGAATTTCCATGTGCAAATTGTTAGGAAGGTATGTAGCTCTTTAATTGTTGTCACTATCTTATTTAGGAATAATGTGGGAGGCAGGTTTGCCTGATGCGGTTCTCAGTTTGACTTTTCCCTTTGGCTTAATGATTTTGGGGTCCCAAGATTTATTTTCCTTTCACAACAGCTACAGCATTTCAGGGTTGGAGGAATCAGAAGGGCTTCATGGGTAGGGGTAGCATTTGAACTGCTGCACCGAGGATCTCAGAGGGATAGATGTGGTGAGGTGAGGCATGGCTGGGGCTTTCCAAGAGAAGGCACAGAAGCAGCAACGTGGGCATGAACAGGTGTGCAGGGGATCTCAGGGCCACGGTGGCTTGAGCTGGAGTGCGGGCATGCTGCTCAAGCATTGGCTGGCCATGATACTGTGCTAAAGAGTTTTTAACACTTAATAAATTAAGCAGCAGGAAGTCGTTAAAAGTTTCTCACTGAGACACTTCCATGAGAGCAGTGGCTAGTTAGATTGATCTTGCAGTGATGATTGGGTTAGATTAGCATGAAGGTGACTAGCTAAAGGCCAGATCAGAGGCTGTTGCCAATAGTCCAGGTGAGAGGTCATGAAGCCCTGGCACAGGTGATGGCAATTGGGAAGGAAGGAGGAAACGATCCCTGGGGCTGCTATGAAAGTAGAATCCACAGAGATGACTCAGATGCCTGAGCCGATGATACAGTGAGAGGCTGCAGAGTGAGTCAGAGACAGGCAGGCTTTCTCTCAGCTTCTACATCTACCACGCTTTGTGGTCTTGGAAAGTGGCCTCACCTAGCAGTATTTCAGTTCTGTCATCTGTAAGTGAGTGGGGTCCATAACCTAACTTAGCAGTATTTGTAGGAAAAAACAACTCTGAAACAGTATTTTTTTTAAGAGACAGAGGGTCACTCTGTTGCCCAAACTGGAGTGCAGTGGCACAATCATAGCTCACTGAAACCCCAAACTCCTGGGCTCAAGCAATCCTCCCACCTCAGGCTCCTGAGTAGCTGGGACTACAGGTGTGCACCAACATGCCCGGCTAATTTTTTGATTTTTTTTTTTTTTTTCAGAGACAAGGGTCTTGTTATGTTGCTCAGGCTGGTCTTAAACTCCTGGCTTCCAACCGTCCTCCTGTCTTGGCCTCCCAAAGCTCTGGGGTTACAGAGCTGAACTCTATCTTCCTCTCTCTTTTTTTTCCTCTCTGTTCTTTCTTGCTTTCTGCCTTTTACTTTTCCTTAGAACTGTCCCTGGAGGTTACACAGGAAACCAGCATGAATCCCACAGGACTAAGAGTCCAGTTGATGAATGTCAATGAAAAAGAGTAAAACTCTGTAAAATATTGGAAAAGATTTACTCTGAGACAAATATGAGGACCTTAACATGCGATAGCCCCAGGAAGTCCTGAGAACAGGTGCCCAAGGTGGTTGGGCTACAGGTTAGTTTTATAAGTTTCAGGGAGACATAAGACACCCTCCCCTCCTTTAACAGTGGTCCAGTCTCCCAGATATGTCTGGGTAAATGAGATGGGTCCCTAGGAACCTCAGTGTGCACCCAATTGTGGATGTGATGCTGAAGGGTAACAACAGAAAGAGAAGGCTTTTGACTTCTTCCAACCTGTAGCAGCCAGGCCAAATGGAACCAGGCTTTTTCAGGGGCCAGGACCCAGGAATGAGATGTAGATCTGCAATGGAACTCTAACATGACTTACCTGAAGTTAGGTCAAATTTCACAAGCAAAGGGCGCGGTCTTTACTCACTTCAGACATGAGCAGCAAACTCTGGGGTTCCCAGGTCCTGCACTTCTGAGCAACTGGCTACAAATTTGGGGGTTCCCCACTACCTCCATAGTTTGGTAGAATGACTCACAGGAAAACATTATATTTATAATTATGGTTTTATTACAGCAAAAAAGAATACAAATTAAGACTGGCCAAAAAAAGAAATGCATAGGGCAAGGTTGCAGGGTATCCCAAATGTGAATTTCCATGCCATCTCCCAGTGAAGTCAGGATGCATCACCCTCCTGGCACATGAATGTGTAACAGAGTGCTGTTAACCAGGGAAGCTCACCTGAGCCTCTGTGTCCAGAGTTCTTATGGGAGTTTCATTATGTAGGCATGATTGATGGAATCATTAGCCATGTGACTGCTCTGAATCTTCAGCTTCTCCTTGCCTCCCTGGAGGTTGGACTGACATCACTTGGCTCAAAGCCCCAAGATTCTCATCTCATGGTTGGTCTTTCTGACATGGCCAGCCCCCATCCTCAGTGGTCTCACTAGCATAAACTGTCAGGGCCCACGATGAATAACAAAGGCATGGCTATCACTCGAGAAATTCTAAGGATTTAGAGGCTCCCATTGAGGGACTGGGGACAAAGGCCAGCTAAGCTCTTTGTTACACAAT